ATTTGAATTTTTTGATCTTTTATTGTTTATGATCTTTTTAATGTTAAAAAAATATTTTAAAATGTAAATTTTTATGAGAAAAATTTAAATTTATAAAATATAAATAATGTCAAAAAAACTGAAGCACTTAAAAAATTGCACTAAATGGACCTTAAGTCATTAACACTTTGAGAAATATACCAACAAGGGTTTAGTTGCGCATGATCCCTTAAGGAACGTTGTAGTGGTTAGCAAGTCAAACTTCTATTTTCGAGATTTTAAATTTAAAATTTGAAATAAATAGTGTAAAATTTGAAAAATAAAAAGACTATTATTTATTTATTTTTTTATTAATCTTTTAGTATCTGGTAACTACATTAGATCTCGATTAATCCAAATCAAGCCACATCGAACCCCATTAAAGAGAGATTCTCCTAGTGTCTATTTCTTCATTCACAAAACTCAAACTTAAAATTTTATTTTAAAAAAAACTGTAAGTTAATAAATTATTTTTAAAAATTCTACAACTCAATTTTAGGTCACCGCCCACCCCTTCATGATTTAGTAGTATAAATGGAAGTTGATGATTTCAAAAGCCGGTGGAAGAACTAGAAAAATCATCATCATCATCATCCATCAAAAAAAAGGGAAAAATCAGCATCGGCAACCTAAAACAGAATTCCATAAATGATATAAATGATTAGCGGCCCATTAATATGATAAATAGGTTGGGCTGCCGCTGCCCACATTGTTTTACTTTAGTGGGCCCAATAAAATGGATATAAATGTCCACTCTACCCTCCAGTTCGTTAGGGTCACAAGACTCACAACAAGAATCAACAAGGATAGAACAGTCCATCTATTCAGCGTCGTTATTGCGTGGGGGAAAAGTCAATTCGTAACGGTATCTATCTACCGACCACCGATCACCGACCTACTCCTTGCCACTTTTGCAAAAAAAAAAAAAAACTATCATTTTTTTATGTTCCCTGGTGTAGTCTCTTCCTACAAACAAAAACAAAAAAAAGAAGAGAATATTCTCTATTAAATTGACAAAAAATTTTTTTTTAACCTTTCGATTCCATCTCATCCCTCCCACCAAAAGCGATGAAGCTTTCTTATATGATTGCTCTCTCGTTGAATTTTAATTGATTTAGTTTTTTTTAAAATAAAATAAACATATAATAATTAATTAATTAAAATTTATATATTATTTAATTGCTACACTTTAAATAAATGTATTTTTTTAAATATGTATTGTAATTTTTTTTTTAAATAGAAGTGAATAGAGGTAGAAACTTTAAATAGTTCTAATTAAAAAGTAAGACACTCCCTAATTTTCTCTCTAATTATCATTTTACCATTCAATCTCTTGTGAACATGAAAAATGAACATGCATAAATTGTGTAGTCTTACGAACTAGTAATTTTGATTGATTTTTTACCTAATAAATTAATAAAATTGATATACATTCACTAATTTCTTGTTATATTGTTATTGTCATATTTCACTATAAATTCAGATTGTGCTTACTGTATATAGATTATAGACAATACAATAACTTATGTTTGAATTTTTTAAATTATAAGTGACTACCTAATTCTGTTAATTTTTGTTAATAACTTAAATGGTTAAGTAAAAATCTCCTTA